CATCATGCTATTCTTCACGAGACAATATGAGAGCATGAATCTGCTCTTCTGGAAGTTGACGCATGCACAGTGCTTGCAGCAGGCGGGGGCACAGCAGGCAGCGACCCATGCAAGCAGGGCGCCTGCTTTACTCTTCCGTAACTGACGCACTGTGCTTGCAGCAGGCAGAGAGGCACAGCATGGGCAGCAGGTGCAGGGGAGGCATTAGCAGCAGCCAGCAACACTGTTCAACTCCTCCAGGAGCTCAGCCCCCCCAGTCGCAGCTCCCCAGGCTCTGTCCATGCAGGTTCAACGCCCCACCGGTGCTCTGTTTGCTCTTTTCGAGGTGGATAAAAACAATAATCTAGCAGGCACAGAGCACCAGTGGGGCGTTGATCCACCTGGCTGAATTGTGGACCACACCAGGGACATCAGGCTGAATTGTCTCGGGTGGAGGGTCTTCAAGAGTGGCTGCTGCATCTGCATTTTCATGTGTTGTAACTGATGGAGTCAAAATGTTCATGTTGATGGATGTTAGTTATAGTGCGCATGTTAGAAAACGCTAAAATGGCATGTGAGAAGCAAATCGAGTCAGTATATGGTTAGTGTTTTAGTATGCATTTTTCTAACGGATGATAATTGGGTCGACTACTTCAATCTGAAAGGGTATGGGTGAATAATTTCACTGAAAGTCTTCAATTCAATTTAATCCATGGAGATGTGCTGGACTGCACCATTTTGCATTAGCACACCTGATGAAATCTAAATAAATACTTTGCATCTTAAAGCTCGCGGCCCAAATTGCGGGGCGCGCTGGCCAAGCTTACTAAGGTTGACGGGGGTGATGTTTTGAGTGCTGTTTGGGTTGCGAAGGGTGGTTACGAGAAGTGAGATGCAATCTGATTGGCCAGTTTTTTTTTTGTCGAATGGGAGAGCAGGGAACAACAATATGTTGATTGCAATTTGGGACTCTCGAAGCAAACCCAGGTTGCTCCCAGGGGTTTGCCGTGTCAACGAAAACCCCAAGGGTCTAGCGCGAAACTGGGCGAAAGGAAACATCCCAACTCCCAACAAGTCAACTTCTTCTCCCACCACCCAAAGGTCAACCTTACTAAGGTTGAACAATTTGGGCCGCGAGCTTTAAAACTTCAGAGTTTTTGTGGAAACTTATGTTTCACGTCTGGAGACGCGTGCTCAGTAGCGAGTTTAACTGACATCTCTGAATTTCTGACAGCATTCTTGCTGCTAGTCTTTTGCTGCAGATGAAGAATGAATCTTGCCCGTTCGATGAGCAGCAGGTTGGAAGTGCAAGGCGCGCACCAACGGGCAGATTGCGCGTTTCCGAAGCAGTGCTGCGAAATAGCTTGTCCCAGCTCGGGCCGTCCGACTCAGCTGATCCCCTGAAGTCGAGACTGACCAACCACTGGTTTGTTCAACCTCGTCAGCGAACATGTCAGCCATTACTGAACTTGAAGAGGACACGCAAGCCGTTTCTTTCCTCCAAATCACAGGCTAGCATGCGTGTTATGAATGAACTTGCAGAGTGCGCAGAATATCGAATAACGAGAATGAACTGATTACCGAATTACTGAATGAAGAAACAATGAAGTAGCGAGGCCTAAATAGGGGAAAACCTAGCTAGGCGGGGGGTTCGGGATGGGATGGCTCGGTGATGGTTGCGATTGGAGCGGAGGCCGACTCGGGAGTGGCTCGGTGCGACGAAATAGGAAGGTCAGGTTCGTCGCGTGACCCTCGGGATGGCCTCGCTAACGAGTGCCTCAGTAAGGATTTGTAAATCCTTACAATGCGGAGCCGTGAACGAGTCTCTCTAGTAAAGAAGAAATGATGACTTTAGAGAGTTTCGTATTCCTATCGTATGAGCGACTTTCTTGCTCCTATCATACAACCGACCTTCTGAGTTTTCTGGTAATTTTCTGCTTGGACAACCAGATATCGCTTCGAACGTTTTCCTAAAATCCTTGCGGACAATCCTTGAGTGTTAGAATGGAGCGTCTCTCACACATTAATCGACTTTCAGATGATCTTCTCACGAGGATTCTGTGGTTCCAGGATGGGATGCCTTCCCAGACTGATATTATTCCTCAAGTGGCTCACTTCCTAAATGGCATTTTAGGGCGAATACATTCACTCCTCCAGCCTTCGCAGATGCAGCACACAATCTGCTCATCGCGTCTGTATGCAGTCGCTGGCGTCAACTCGTTAAGCGTCAGGTCACGAGTCTCTCGGTCCAAGAAAACCGCTTCGTATCTCGTCCAGACTTGGCGAACGCAGTGGCTTTGTTCGACAACCTCACCAATCTTCACCTGAGCGACGGGAGTGTCGAAATTGTTGACAACGAATTCCTCGCTCACCTTGCTTCCTCACGACCTAAGCTGAAAGCTCTTCACGTGGGTCGCAGGATCACACCGACGGGGTGTGGAGGGAGCAAGAATGGCCACCCAGTTACTGAAGCCGGTCTCGAGAATTTCTTCCTGAAGTGCAATCAGCTGGAGGAGATTTCCCTTCACTGCCTTCATAAAAACGCCGAGTTGCCGGATTCTTTCTTTCAGCTGCAGCATCTCCACACGGTTTTCCTAACAGACATTTCAGCCGTCACACTCTCCCAATTTGCAAGACTTCCATCTCTGACTTCTCTCCATATTGCTATCCCGAGGTTGACACATAAACAGCAGTCAGTCTTCGCTCGCATTTCAAGTCTCTCTAAGCTTTCTATTTCCAGTGAAATCCACCTGTCCAAGAATGATTCACCAGCTGCAACTCTCACAGCTGCTCAGCTGCATTATCTGAAGACTCTCGAGTTCCAGCTGGCTAGTCCTAGTTTCACTTCATTGTTCCCTACAGGAAGGCCATGGATCCGTCTAGAGCAGCTCGTGATCACGAAATCCGCCAACATCCAGCGCCTTCCCGATGACTTTGGAGAGCTGTTGCCGTGCCTGCGTGAGCTGACTATTCGCGATTGCCACCAGCTCGACCAACTCCCGGACAGTATCACTTCCCTAGGTGCATTGGAGTGCTTGACCATTACTGAGAGTAACCGGCTTTACAGCGTGCCGGATGTATTTGGACAGTTTCCTGCTCTCAAGTCACTGATGCTGGAGAGCATTCCGCTCTCGGAGCTACCTGACTCGCTCTGCCAAGCTACATCTCTGGAGCGGCTGTTCCTACATCACTGCACACTTAGGCTCCGTCAGATGCCAGAAGACTTCAGCAGCCTCACATCTCTCAAGACATTGAGCCTTCGGGGGTTGGTTCTTCCAGAGAGGATGGAATGGCTCAGCAGCCTAGAGACTCTTCACGTGCGTGGATGCATTCTGGAGCAGCTCCCCGCTTCGTTCACGCAGCTGATTTCTCTCACAAGTCTTGAGCTCGGCCACTGTCAGATTGAAGAGCTACCTGATGGTCTGGACAATCTGAGGAACTTGCAGCATCTGCACATGCATGGCTGTAATGCTATCAGGAATATTCCAGACTCTGTTACAACGCTCACTAGCCTTGTAACCTTGACCATCGAGAGTTGTCTAGGGCTATCTTTGCTGCCAAGCAGGCTAAGCAGCCTTGGGAAGCTTAAGCGGTTGAGGGTCGTGTTGTGCGAACGGCTGAGTCAGTTTCCTGCGTCGCTGCCACTTTCCCTGGAGGTTCTGTCTTGGAAGAACAACGGTCAGGTTGATTCCTTCCCTCAAATCTCGCAACCATTTTGTCTGAGGAGCTTGGAGCTGGGATTGGCAGATGGCGTGGAGGAGCTTTCGGTTCCCTGGAGTTCACTTGGCCAGCTCCATGTCCTCAGTATCTTAAATGGTAAAAGGATTCAGTCTCTTCCTGAAAACATCGGTTCTGCATTGCAGCAGCTGCGGGATTTGCGAGTATGTGACTTTGAGGAGCTTCGGGAGCTGCCAGAAACGGTTTCACAGCTCCAACACCTGACATTGTTGAAGGTCCTTGCACCCAACGTTACGTTGATCCCCGATGGCATCGGTGCCTTATCCAGGCTGCGTGAGCTGGATCTATCAGATTGTAACGCCCTACAGAAGTTGCCACCTTCGCTCACGCAGCTCCGCTGCCTCTGCGTGCTTAGACTTATCAAGACTTCCATCAGCTCACTTCCTCCCAGGTTTGCACAGCTGACCAGGCTGAGGACACTGAATCTGTTCGGCTGTGACCGATTGAAGGCATTGCCAGAGGATTTGACCGAGCTGAAGGTGCTGCAGGAGTTGAATGTCAGATGGTGCAAGCAAGCGCTTGATGGCATGTCCCGTGCACTGCGCTGTGGCCTCCGGGATATGCATGGGCTGATCTTTGTTAGATCCTGACCTAGCATAGCAGCAACATGGTGCTTAGCATAGAAGTTCAATTGCTTCAATAGCCATGCTTCGTGTTGGATAACTCTTTGTCTATTGGCAACCCCGTCTCTTAGCTGAACTCTCCCTCCCTTTATCCATTCCTGTTAGACTACGCCTTCTGAGTGGGCAATGATCTGTATTTTGTTCAAAAGTTGTGAATCCAAAAGACATGAAGACATCCGGAAATGTGAATGCAAATTATATGCCAGAACCTCTGATGCTTAACAGGTTGTACGGTGTGTTACAGCATTTATTTGTTGAATTTTCGGTATGCTTAACAATGACACGCTGCCTTGAAATCCAATGGGTGCGAGGGCTGCCTTGGTACTGAAGCATAAACCATGTGCTTGAGCTTCACGGAAGGAAGGCGCTGATGGTGCGAAATGAATGTGGATGGCACGATTGCATGAAAATGGCGAAACAAGCATCAGATAGGCATGACAGCGGTCATGTGAGAATGCTCATGCGCTGATGGGCATGCACGCAGCGCCACGTGGCGCAGGATGTAATGTGCACAACACCATGTGGCGCTGACGATCATGCAGACATCGCCATGTGCCGATGATAAGGAATGGATGGCCGCGTAAGCAATGCCAGATGGTAATCATCATGTTTGCATCGCCATCTGTTTACAGTCATGTATGCATCAACATGTGCTGATGATCATGCATGGACGATGCTGCGCGGCCCATCAGGCCGGGACGGCTGATGGAGGAATGGCATGGAAGCACGGGGTGGTGGGAGGAGGTTGAGGGAGTGAAAGGGGGGGCGGGAGAGGGTAAGGGAGGGTGGACAGAGCGTGATCAGAACGAGCCATTTATTTCTTGTCATCCTCTCCTCTGAGACGGGTGGATGCTACAGCATGAAACGGGTGAGGCGATGGGAAAGAGACCAAGCAAAAAGAGCTACGGTAATAAAACCAAGAAATTCGAATGGGAGTAGAAAAAAACACACCAGACTGCCTGGAGTGCCATATGGAATGGGAGGAGGCCGGAGGACGGGGGGAGACCGGTGGCATCGAGAGTGGAGGAGGCCGGGCGAGATGGAGCATCTGGGTCCAAGGGAAGCTCGTCCAGTGTCTGATGGGGGGAAGGGGAGCAGGAATGGGAAGGGTGTGGAGAGGGAGAGAGGGAGAAAAGGGGGTTAGGCAGACGAAGGTGGGAGGAGGCCGGAGGAGGGGGGAGACCCGTGGCATCGAGAGCAGAGGAGGCAGGGCGAGAGGGGGCGTCTGGGTCTAATGGGAGCTCGTCTAGCGTCTGTTGAGGGGGAGGGGGTTGCAGGTGAGGCATGAAAAGAGAGAGAGAGGATATGGTAAGGAGAGAGGTGAGACCACGCACCATGCGGTGACTTTTGAGTCGACTCAAAAGTCACCTAGTCGCATGAAAATAGAGAGAGGATATGGTCAGGAGAGAGGCGAGACCACGCACCACGCAGCCTGCTGCATTGATGCTATGTCTTCCAGCTCCTGCATTCACACCCTGTTTCAAAAAGACGTTTGCACAAACATTCACCCATGCGGCCAACACCTACGAATCAACTCCTTACAGCAACACACGTACCCATGCAGCTTGCTGCAGCACTGCATAGATGTCTTTGCACCGCTGCCGCTTCCGTGAGTAAACACTTGCACCAATGCACCAGTGAGCAAGTGGACTGAACACACCTAGAATCACTCCCTTACACCAACACACTCACCCAGGCAGCTTGCTGCAGCACTGCATAGATGTCTTTGCACCGCTGCCGCTTCGATGCAATGTCCTCCCTCTCCTGAAGCATCTCCTCAAACAGTGCCTCCCTGCAATTCATAGAGCCGGAATACAAAAAGAGTTTGATACAGGCGCCTCAAAATTCGTTTCATAGAGCAGGAATACATAAGGGTTTGACATAGCACCGGGTGCAGCTCCCTTGCACCGAATTCGATCTGTTAAATCCCTTGTGCAATAAAATTCCACTCTTGCACCACATTGACCAATCAGCTTACCTGTACAGTTGTTGGATGAACACACTGTGTAGCTCCATCTTCACGTGGTTAACCTGGTAACAGATGTGAGAGAGTTGGACATGCCAGGCAGGGTATGTTTCCACCCCACCTACTTGCATGCATCAATCAGCTTACCTGTACAGTTGTTGGATGAACACACTGTGTAGCTCCCTCTTCACGTGGTTAACCTGGAATATGGGGGGTAAAAACAGAAGATTCACACACGGCAATAAGGCAAGAAAGGGTCGAGTGAGTGAGAGAGAGGAGGAGGCGAGTCACCCCTATCCAGCAGGGAACCAGCAGGGAACCAGCAGCAACCCCACCACACAACACAACTCACCAGAAAGTGCATAATCGCCTTGGGAACGGCGTCTTGAACGTTCTTCCTCACAACGTCGTAATATGACTTCAGCAGCAGGCGGGTTACCCCGATCTCCACACCCTCCTCCCAGCAAAAAGCACCCTACCACACTCCCGGGGCCCCAACCCCAACCAACCACACTCACCAGGAAGTGCATGATCGCTTTGGGTACAGCATCTTGAATGTTCTTCCTCACAATGTCGTAGTATGACTTCAAGAGTAAGCGGGTTACCCCAATCTCCACGCCCTCTTCTGCTGATCGCTGCTCACTCGCCCGCAAGATAGAGGGCGGCTGAGAAAGTGGGGAACACAGTAGGGTAGGGGGAAGAAGAGCAGAGGAAGGGGGGAAGGGGCCGGGAAGGAGGGAGAGAACAAAAGATGAAGAAAACGCACACACATCCACTCCAATCTCCACCCTCTCCTCTGCTGATCGCTGCTCGCTCGCCCGCAGGACAGAGGGCAGCTGAGAAAGTGGGGAACACAAGGGGGAGGGTGGAGGGGGGGGAGGGAGAGGAGAAGGGAGGGAAGATGGGGTTTGGAAAGGAGGGATGAAAGATAAAGGAAGTGAAAGAGAGCAGAAAAGCATGTCACCCCTATCTTCGCACCCTCCTCTGCTCACTGCTGCTCGCTTGCTTTCACCGCAGCAGCGACAGAAGTGGGGGGGAAGAAAGTCAGCAATGGAAACTGGAGAAGAGGGAGGGATAAGGCGCCGAGGCGGGAAACGCAAAATAAGGGGCATTAACAGGAGCAGTCGGAGTAAAGAAGAAGAAGAAAATTATTGGGAGGGAATAAAGATAAAGGTAAGGAGGCTAGGAGGGATATAAGAGCTCAAACCCGGAGAAGAAAATGAGAGAGGACCAGGTGACACAACACAGGACAGAAAAGGAAAGACCAAAACATTCCAGACCAAAACCACTGTTTTCTGTTCCCATCCTCGCCCACCCTTCAGCCCAGTGGCACCGGGATAGGACCCTACAGGGGGCAGGGAGACGGCTAGCTGCGACTGCTGCTGCAGCCATTCCCACTCGTCCGTAGCTGCTGCTCGTGGCGACCGCGAGAGCCGTGGTGATGACACTGATGCTGATGCTGACGCTGCATAGGGTAACCCCAAGCGGCTACTGTAGCTGTAACTGTAGCTGTAGTCTTCCTGCTGCCAGATGCTGCTGCTTCTTCCCCTGCTGCTACTCTGCCTTTGCCTCTCTCTCTGCCATCCCATGCCGTCTTGTTGTCTGCTCCCTACAGCATCCCCATTTGCTAGCCACGGATTGGTTAGCGCATCTTCTTGCTGCTGCTGCTGCTGCTGCTGGTGTTGAAGGTGGGATTCATTTTGATGAAGAGGCGAGGAGTCTATACAGTGTGCGGAGTCCTTGAGCATGCCAGCACCAGCAGCATCAGAAGCAGCAGCAGTTGGTGATCCGAGGAGCCTGGCATTCTCAACACATCTCCCCATCAGCTCTGCCCCACCTTCTCTCTCATCAACCCCACCCTCCAGTCTTTCTCTTGCCTCTGCTGCATCAACCACCATGTTCTCTTCGGCCCCCTCAGCCACATTTCCACCTGCTTCCCTTCTCACGTCACCAACATTAGCAGCAGGAGCAAAAGGGTCACAGCGTGCCACATCCCCGCCCCTCTCCGTTTCACTGTTCAACACTCTTTCTTGCTCCTGTTGCTGCTCCTCCTGCGCTGCTGGGTCCAGCACTTGGAAAACAACATCACGGGCAGAAGCGCCAGCTGACACGTCTCCTCTCCCCTCCAGCTGCTCACGCTGCTGTTGCTCCTGCTGTTCACCCCCTCTCAACTGCGCATTCTGCTCCAGTTTCTGCCCCTCCTGCTGCTCCTGTTCCTGCTTCTCCCCAACACCTCTCAACCGAGTATGCTTTTCCTCCTCCCCACCCGCCCTCCCTTCACTTATTCCCTCCCCAGACGTCAGAGCCTGCTGCACACCTCCCCGCAACACAGCACCATCTGCACCCCTCTTAACCCCTCCAGACACATCCCTATTCCCAACACACATGCCCTCTGGCATGTCAGTATGAGGCACAGCCAAGGCGTGCACCATGCCTCTCACGTCAGGGTCTAAAGGGGTGTGTAAGTGCGCCTCTCCCCCTGCTACCCTTTGCGGCGCCTCAAAAGCCATTGCATGCACCATGCCCCTCACATCTGGGTCCAAAGGGGTGTGTAAGTGCGCCTCTCCCCCTGCTGCCATGGAATGCAGAACAAGCCTCGCCCCCATCAACGCCATCCCCACCCACCCCTGCCGCTGCCGCCGCCACCACCGCCGCTGCTGCCGCTGCTGCTGTTCCTTCACCTGCTGCTGCTGTATCACCACCCGCAGCGGTGGCTGCTGCTGCTCTGTTAACTCTATCTGCCCCTCCTGCTGCTGCTGCTGCCACTGTAAGGTGCTGGGTCCTCTCACAGAAACTACAGGCCCAGCTGTGGTCATCTGTGCTGCTTCAGCAGGGACAGCAGCTGCTGTAGTCAAGACACGTGTGGCTGAAGCTGCAGCAGCCTTGCTTCTTCTTCCCAGAATGCCTCTGCTGCTGCGGGCCCCAATCCTGCCCCTCCTCCCCTCCCGCACACCTCCGCTCTGCCCACAAACAGGCACAGAGCTACCTTTGAGGCTCAGAACTAGCTCCGCTGGCCTTGAAAACAAGACAAAACAAACCCTAACGATTTTTGAGGCGCCTAAAAAATCGTCTCAGAATCAGCTCCGCTGGCCTTGAAAACAAGACAAAACAAACCCTAACGGCTGTGAACGAGAGAACGAACATGGCCACCTGTAACCCAACCTTCCCCAACCCACTTCCACCGCTCCGCACCTGAGAGTGCCTCCCACCAACCAAGCAACCAAAAGAGAAGAACAGAAGCGGAAAGCGTACAAAGAGAGGGGCAGGGGCAAAACTGATAGAAGAACAAATGTATACCTCTCTGAGAAGGATTGTGGATGCAGGCTCGTTGGGAGCAGAACCACCAGGGGCAGACATGGGTTCAGGCGAAGCGAGTGGGAAGGGCGTGAGCGCTGTGGCAGACGAGACGTTTCCTCCTCGGTTCCTCTCCTGCCCGCCGAAGATGGACGAGATGCCCCACGAGGACCCTGTGATGCGAGGGGAGGGAGGGGAGGATGAAGCACGAGAGTGAGCTTGTTGGCCCCAGACAGTGCTGTGACGCCGAAGATGGACGAAATGCCCGACGAGGACCCTGTGATGCGAGGGGAGGGAGGGATGAAAGATGAAGAGAATCAAGGGGAAGCGAGGCAGGGGGGAAGGGAGGGCTGTGGCAGACAAGACGGATCCTCCTCGGTTCCTATCCAGCCCGCCGAAGATGGACGAAATGCCCCACGAGGACCCTGTGAGCAGGTGGCAGGAAGAGGGCGCGAGAGGAAGATGATGAGAGGAGGCCCGTTGATTACCATTCACTGCTGCCAGACGCAAAGGGGCGAGGGGTGAGGCCTGTGGCAGCGGGGTGGGGTCCTCTGTTGCTCTCCTGCCCTCCGAAGATGGATGAGACGCCCCACGAGGACCCTGCGAGCAGGTGGGAGGAAGGAGAGGGAGGGAGGAGCAAGTAAGGTGGTGAGAGCAGCAAGGGGGGAAGAGAGTTGAGGGGGAAAGGAGCAAGGGCTGTGGCATTCCTGAGCAACACTCTCAAAAACTATAATAACCATAACAATTACAAGAACAATAACACTAGTGCCAGAGATCCTTACCTTGCTTGTCTGCAACTGTGCCATTTGCAGTGGCTGCCTGCTTGCCCCCCTGTTGCTGCTGCTGCTCTTGCCCTCCCTGCCCCTGCCCCGCTCCCTCCTTCCTCATCAGCATCACCCTCTGCTTCGCCGCTGCTGCCACCGACGCCACTGCTGCTGTTGACGGTGACCCTCCTCCTGCTGCTGCTGTTGTCATTGCACCACCAGAAGCACCCGCTCCTGCTGCTCCCTGCCCTCCTCCCTCACTGACCTTCCCTTCCTGCAGATGTGAGTGGTGGAAGTGACGGGGGGAAGGACGCAGCACACAATGAAACAGGACAATTTTTTTTTCAGTGTGAATCGATACGAAGCTACCCTCCTGCTCACGCTGCTGTCAGTGCACCACCCGCCTCTGCTGCTCGTGCCCTCACTGTTCTTTTCTGCAGGTAGGGGAAGGGGCGTGGGAGGAAATGGCACACAACAAAACAGGACTAATCTAACCGTACGAATTTAAACGAAGCTCCCTTCCTGCTGCTGCTGCCAGTGCAGCACCACAGCTGCATGCTCAAAACAAGGCGAACAATCTGAAGCTTCAACCTATTGCTGCCAGTGCTAAATCAAGGAACTACCTCCATGATCCATCGACCATACTTTCCAAATGCTCCAATATTTAAAGGGTATTTGTGTACTCACCCTCAATTGCTGCAGTATAATCTCAACGGCTCTGCTGCCCCCAATGAAGCTTGGATGCGATGTATTGATGTAATCCATCTGAGGGAGGCGGAACATAGGGAAGGGGGAAAAGAGAGAGGGGGAAGGGGGTTTAGGGTTGGGGGTAGAAAACAGGTCCTGCTGCCCCCAATGAAGCTGGGGTGGGACGTATTGATGCAATCCATCTGAGACATGGGGGATATTAAAGAAATGGGAAAGGGCGAACGAGAAGGCGCTGTGTCTTAACAACGGCTCTGCTGCCACCGATGAAGCTGGGATGCGATGTATTGATGTAATCCATCTGGTTATATAAGACAGAAGGAGGCAGGGGGAATGAAAGGAAGGGAAGGAAGGGGGGAAGAATAGGTGGAAAGGTGGTGAAGATAATCCCTACTGCTTGCCATGAAGCTAGGGTGGGATGTATTGATATCCATCTGGTCATACAAGACGGAAGGAGGCAGGGGGAACATAGCGGTGAAGAACAGGAGGAAAGACTGTGAAGATAAGCCCTAGCAATGAAGCTTGGATGCCATGTATTGATGTATTGATGTATTGATGTATTGATGTATTTTTCTGCCTCCGTTTTCCTGTACGAAGAACGTCGTCCGTAAAATCCTGCTCGACCGACAGGGGGACCGCACTGCTGCCATCCGTGTGTGCGCTGCCAAGGCTCTCAAGAGCGTAGGTCCGTTTGGCGGAGTCGACATGGGGACGACCATGAAGCAGTTTCGAAAAATACTGACGAGGGCTCATGTCTCTCGTCAGTATTTTTCAAAACAGCTTCATGGTCGTCTCCACGTCGACTCCGCCGAACGGACCTACCCTCTTGTGAGCCTTGGCAGCGCAGTTTTGAGTCCATTCAAAACATATTTCCATGTCAATGAGGTGTCGAATCATGGTCTTTGCAGGAGTAAGCCCCTCCCTGAGAAGTTGAACGTTCATACCCACCCACCCCATACCCCCCCTTGCCCAAATCCCCATACCTCCATGTCAATGAGGTGCCGAATCATGGTCTCAGCAGGAGTGAGCCCCTCCCTGAGAAAGCTCCCCACCGTCTCCTCCACCTTGCGCCTCAATACAGGGAAGCGGGCCAGCTGGTACGACTCACAGCGATGAGCGATCTGTGAGTGAGGCACAGAGCAGGAGAGGGAGGGAGGGAGAAGAATGGAAACTGGCTTGAGGTCCCCATTACGTGTCTCTTCCACCTTGCGCCGCAGCACAGGAAACCAGGCCAGCTGGTATGACTCACAGCGATGAGCGATCTGTGAGGCATGAAACATGGTGGGTGGGAAGACGTGATAGGGGGGTGCTTCGCCTGCAGGGTTGAGCCAGGGAAGCAGGCCAGCTGGTATGACTCACAGCGGTGGGCAATCTGCATAGCACACGGCAGGGTGGGGCAGGGCAAGTGGACGCATCGAAAGCGAATCTCACCACACGCGAATGAGAAGGAGCCTCATCTTGATATGCTCATCTTGACATGCGATGTCTGTGTCTTTGTCACGGGGTGGCTCCTAACTCAGTGCCCATCTCGTTGTAGCGCTCACCTTGTCTATGACGTCGAAGACGAAGCGCGCGCATTGAAGTGAGGGGTCCAGCAGACACACGCACGCATGAGGTGAGCGAACGCACCTGAACGTATACACCTTGCTGCTCTGAAGGAGGGGGCGGAGGTGCCTCACCTTGACTAGCTCGTCGTAGACGAAGCGTGAGCATTGAAGCGAGGGGTCCAGCAGACGCTATTTCTGTAACTTTGTGATAACGGGTGGCTTTTGACTGGTCACCTCGTTATAAGAAAGTCTCACCTTGACTAGCTCGTCGTAGACGAAGCGCGCGCATTGAAGCGAGGGGTCCAGCAGACGCGATATCTGCCGCCTCACCAGCACCTCAAAGGGCACCTGCCGAGCCGAGGGGATGGGCGGAACGAGAAGCGTAAAGGAATTTGGGGAAGCAGTTACAGCGGATAAATAACCAAGGCATTACTTACTCACACCTGACACGCAAGAAGTGAGTGAAAGCATACAACAAATAGGTAAGGCTAAACTTACGTCCGGTACGAAAAGCGCATTCTTCGTTCCCGTGGCGTTCTGAATGGCTGTGCGAATGTCCTCGTCTGAAAGGTCCTCACAGGGGTCCACCTCCTGAGAGGCACGATGGGAGGGGAGGGAGTGAAGGGACGGAGTGAAGGGAGGGAACTTCACATCCATGCACTGAACTCGCATGCACGCACACATGGAATATGGAAGACCCGATGTGATCATGTGACTCACATTGATGCCCTTGACAAAGATGTCTAGGACATCAAACGGGACTCAACTCAATGCGCCGAACTTACCTCACATCAATAAACCAAACTCACGTCGATGCATTTGACAAAGATGCTTTGGAAGATGTAGTGGATTCGAGCTCCTCCCGCCAGCTCTGCTGTGGACATGCCCTGGTTCTTGCCATCCACTATCGTCACGAAGGCTGCTCAGGGTAAGATACGCAGCAGGAAAAGAAAGAGATGCACATGAGTAACATGTAGTGGATTCGAGCTCCTCCCCGGTCCTGCCAGCTCGGCTGTGGACATGCCCTGGTTCTTGCCGTCCACTATCGTCACGAAGGCTGCTCACAGGATAAAAAATACAATGCAGGTAAATAGAGTGTGCACTAGGAAATTAAAACACGCTTACAGCACACCATCAAAAGTCAGTCAAACTAATCGCACGCACACCCAACTCACGTTGAGAGCACTTGGGTTGGGTTGAGATGTTAAGCTAGAAAACATCTCCTGTAGATTCATTAATACTCACGCAGACTTACAGTGCACGCACTGAAAGCCCGGAAACTCTTATTGCAACATACAAATTTAAATGTAGCAGCGGGGGTTGGAAGAGCAACTCACATTGAGAGTACTTGGTGAGAATGTTCAGCAAAAGAACTCCCATGGTGGCCTGAGGGGAAGGGAGCACATACAGGCAGCAGGGAGGAGAATCACCCAAACGTGGCCCACAAAAACACCTTAGAGGAGCACAAAGTCCGGGGAAGGGGATCACCACAAACACAGAGTGCATGGGACGTTGACAGACAGTGGTGATGATGCCTCCTTCACGAAAACGTATCTTTTTTTCTTTTCCCTTGCTCTCCTTGACGTTTCTCCCTCACCTCCCTCCCATCTCCGCACCTCCTGATAGAAGTAGTGTTTTGAGACGTCTCAAACCACTAAATTCATCACCTGATGCCTCCTTGACAGAAACGTGCTCTTCTTCACGTATCTCCCTCACCTCCCATGTCAGGACCTTCTGTCCACCTCACAGTCCCTGCCCCCTCATTTCACGCATCATCCCACCTCCCATCTCAACACCTCCTCTCCAGCTCACCATCCCTGTTTTCATCCATCAGCCGTCTCCCTATCCCCCCCTATCCCCTACGAGTTTCTTGTGCACAGGCAACCTCCGTATCAGCGTTTATGTGCATCTCCTACAAGATAACAATCACCCTTTCTGTGCACTTCCTCAAACCAAACAACATTCATCCGCTCTGCCGCCTCCCCGCACCCCACGAGCTCCTTGTGCACCGCCACCATCTGAGCGCTGAACCTACCCGTCTACCCTTTGCTGTGTACAGCCCTCTCTTTGCAACACAACACTCACTCACCCGCTCTGCCGCCTCCCCGTACCCCACAAGCTCCTTGTGCACCGCCACCATCTGAGCGTTGATCCGCGCCTTGAGATCTGGCAGCAGCAGGCGAATGTGCTGCACTAGAATCTGAAACCAGGCAGTGAGGGGGGGGGAATGGAGAGGCAAAGACGTGAAAGGACATGTGAATCGAATGAACATTTGAGCGTTGATTCGCGCCTTAAGGTCCGGCAGCAGCAGAAGAACGTGCTGCTGCACTAGAATCTGAAAGCACGCAGTGAGGGGGATGGATGGAGGCGGAGACAGAAGCAGTTGAAGGGTGAAAGTTGATCCGTGCCTTGAGGCCCGGCAGGAGTAGGAGGATGTACTGCACGAGAATCTGAGAGGAGACAGCCACACAGAGGGGAGAGATGACAACATGTGAATGCTAATAAGCCTCGAAGAGGGTTCATCTGCGCCTTGAGGTCCGGCAGCAGCAGACGGATGTGCTGGACTAGAATCTGACGAAAGGGATTGAAAGACTAGTGGACACATAGCGTGGTACTGTCGGAAGCAAACGTGCCATCAGCTGGGCTCTCAACTAACTGGGTTGAGTTTCTTGACAGGCTGAAGAATCCCATTCCAATCCTCCAACTCATGGTAAAACAGAAGTACCCCATTATAACCCAATAATAACCCATTCTACCCACATCCCTTGCTACACTAATTTCAATTCCCTTCTGTAATGACTCCTGCAAGCCCCTACCAACTAGACTCTCTACTCACCGAGTTGAGCTTCTTAGCAAGCTGCGGAATCCCACACCGATCCGCCAAGCCATGGTAAACCTGTGGTGCCACGTGCAAACAGACATGCAAAGAGGCATACAGACGAGTCACGAGTGGGAGTACAGAACACCAGCAAGTCACAAGTGGGTCTCCCTCACAAACAAATGGAAAATGAAAACTTCAAAGTCACCAGTTCACGAATCACAAGCACAGCGCAGCTATGTATGGAAAACAATTTGCTCGCCTCAGCCTTAACAAAACATCTTCTCGAACTCACCGGTCTGCTTCGGAAAAAGGCCTCTTCGTAGGTGAGAGCATCTTTGACACTCTTCTTCGCGTTAATGTCCTGACAGGGGGGAGAAGAGAAGAGGCATGACATGGGACAAGGGCAGAAAGGGTATGATGTGGGCGTTTCCTGGCTGCAGATGATGATGCCCTGCCCACATAGTCCGCATGCAGGGGTATGACATTCCCTAGGAGCAGGTTGTGGTCATCCGTCAACACACACACACACACACCCCCAGTGCACGCACGTCAAAACTACTTACCCAGTGAAATAAACACATTCACAAGTGCAAGAACACACCTCCTGGCTGCGGTGCGGTTGGTGACGCTCACACAGCCCAGGCGCAGCGGAATGACATTCCCTAGCAGCAGGTTGCAGGCATCCCTCACCTCACCTCACGCACTCTCATCAAACAAGTCTCCGCTGGAATCAACGCACCTCCTGGCCTGGCTGTGGTTAATAACGCCCACATAGCCCAGGCGGAGTGGGATGACATTCTCTAGCGTTGAAGAAGGGTACATCCCAGTAAACACACCTCCCCGGCCCCCAACACTCACTACCTCCTCAGCCCCCCCTTCAAATAAACCCACCTCCTGGCTGTGGATGATGACGCCCACATAGCCCAGGCGCACGGGGATGACATTCCCCAGAAGCAGATTGCATGCATCTGTTGACACACACTCACCTAATGTTCTCCACAACTACCCAGTGAGATGAAAGTGTACACACGCGCACAAGCGCACCTCCTGGCTGCGGTTGATGACGCCCACGTAGCCCAGGCGCAGCGGAATGACATTCCCTAGCAGCAGGTTGCATGCATCTGTGCCACGGTCCATGATGTCGAGCTGGAGGGATGACAGAACGAAAAGAGGAGAGAGGATTAGGAGCAAGAGCATGTCAACCTGCAGGATGAAGCAGGAAACGATCAACTAAGAATTAGGGGCGGAGGGTATGACAAGAGGCAGTTCATCGTCTGAATGAAAGGATATCCCTGCATCCCTGGTATACAGTTGTTCGTTCAGCTGAAGTGGCAAACGGAAGGAGAAGTTATGACTCTTACTCACTCTTCACGCATGAAAGGAATGAATGCAAAATAATGTGCAAGAGAAGCAAACAGCAAGAGCAGCAGCGTAATCTGCAAACTAGAAAAAACATCATACCTTGGTAATAACTCCGATCGTTCGATGCCCTGACAGGATAGCAACAAGAAGTGCGGGGGAACAGACACACATACAAAGCATAGGGAATCATGACGAGATCCAGAGAAGGAAATGGCTGACTGAATTAGGAGACAAAAACACAATGGCACTTCAAGAAACTGTCAAACTAAGTTCTGGAACACTTTTATACCCGAGACTTAACAGAATGGCATGCAAGCAACATAAAGTGACTACCTATTAGCATGTTTCATGTTATTTTTCCAGGGATTTTAGGTGAACCCAGAAGGAAATCATGCCTGCCTCCCTTCCCACATCAATCCGCTTGGGTAGTCCCCTTTCCCCCTGCCCCCTTTCAATGTCTGCCTTTCCGTGCGTCCACACAACACCAAAGTGTGGTGACAGTATTGCATATGAGAATTCTCAAAAAAGATCTTCCAGGGACGGACTCACTCTTCCACCAAAGATTCACAGGCAGTGCTGCCTATGCAGCGCACCATCCGGCACCCCCTCCCGGCGGCGCTTCAAGACAGCGTTGATGGGCATGACAGCAAGGATCATGGAGCGCACCCCCTCTCTGTCCCGCCCCACTGCCCAATTGAACCACCACCATTTTGACTCACCATTGGGGTCTGCCATTCGCGCCACTTGTGCGCGTCTGAATTCGCCGAGTCCGCATTTGCAGCAACGACTGCCAGAATGATGCATGTCTCCTGCTTGATGTACGCCAGGATCATGAAGCGCACCTGCTGTCTGTCCCACAGCCCAACCAAACCACTGGTTACACCAGTGGGTCACACTCACCGTCAGGGTCAGCCATGCGCGCCACTTGCAGCGCATCCGAGTTAGCCAAATCCGCATTGGCAGGCGTGACCGCCAGAATGATACACGTCTCGTGCTTGATGTAGGCCAGGATCATGGATTGCACATGCGCCTCTATATCTACGTGACTACGTCCCCATGCTCCCCCCCCCCCCCCCCCAGCCAGATGAACACCAGGAACCAGACTCACCGTCAGGGTCAGCCATGCGTGCCACTTGCAGCGCGTCCGAGTTCGCCAGGTCCGCATTGGCAGGCGTGACCGCCAGAATGATACACGTCTCGTGCTTAATGTAGGCCAGGATCATGGAGCGCACGCGCGCCTCGATGTCGGAGGGCTGGTCGCCCACGGGCACCTCCCCAGGATCATGGACCAACGCCCATGTCCCACAACCCAACCAACTGGTGAAAAGTGCACGAGCACCAGGAGTTGGACTCACCGTCCGGATCAGCCATGCGTGCCACTTGCAAGGCGTCCGAATTCGCCAGGTCCGCATTGGCAGGGGTAACAGCGAGGATGATGCAGGTCTCGTGCTTTATGTAGGCGAGGATCATGGATCGCACGCGCGCCTCGATGTCGGAGGGCTGGTCGCCGACGGGCACCTTGGTGATGCCGGGCAGGTCCACGAGGGTTATTGTGAGCACGTGCGGCGAGAAGATCTTGAGCCGAATCTGCTTCTCCGTTATGCCCTTGTTTATCCCCACCTCCCTCTCCGTCTCCAGCTGGAGGGGTGGGTTGGGGACAGGAGGGTTTGCAGGGGAGATTGAGACCGGAGGGAGGCGGGAGGAGGGAAAGAGGAGAAGCAGAAGTGATGATGAGCACGTGCGGCAAGAAGATCTTGAGCCGAATCTGCTTCTCCGTTATGCCCTTTCTTATCCCCACCTCCCTCTCCGTTTCCAACTGCAGGCGGGGTTGGAAAGATCGAGACAGGAGGGAAGGACGGGTGAAGAAAGACCACAAGAGGGAAGAAATCGAGTAGGAGAGCAGTAGAGTAAGATCAGGAGTGATGGTGAGCACGAAGGGCGAGCAGATCCCCATGACGCCCATGTTGCTGCGAGTGCGGGAACGAGCAGTAGACACGGAAAAGCAGAAGCAGGAACGGAAGAGTTGCAGTGCAAAAGCAGCGGTAGAACCTCGTGACGACTTCGCTTCTGAGTGGACGCAAGAACACAGGGATGAGTAGCTCCAGTGAATTACGCGACTGGCAAGGCTATGATTTTGAGTCAATTCAAAGAAGGGGAAATGCAATGCGCCAGCGGATGAGCCATAGAGGAAATTCTCGTCCCAGTCAGCACAAGCACACAAGGATTAGGAGCTCCAGTGACTCGTGGGTCTGTGTTTGAAGATCCTCAAAACCAGTGAATCCAGGGAACACACGTGGCAAGACTCTTCTTTTGGGTTGATCGTGAACTTGGCTTGGAGTTCCGAACAAGGGACGATTGGACAGAGGAAAGAAGGGGGACTCAGTAAGGGGGAATGAGAAAGAAGGGTTTAGACAGGAAGGGTTCAGAAAGGGAAATCCAAAAAGAGAGATTCACAAAGGGAAAATGAGAAAAAGAAAAGCAGGGGAATCAACAGTCCCGCATCTTGTTCCTACCCAACGCGTTAAAGATTTAGAAAAAAATATATCACCTGAATTTCGTCCCGGATCGCGGAGAAATCCGTGAATCTCTTCCCCGGCAGGTGCAAAAACTCCCCCCATTCCTCCGCCTTGCCGTCCGCGCGCTTCGGCACCTGCACCAGCTGGAGCACCAGCGGTCGGCGCGTAACCACGTCGGATCCACGTGGCAGGAAATCCTTCCCGACGAGCGACTCGAGCACGCTGGATTTCCCGCTGCTCTGACTTCCCACAACGGCTACTTGCGGCAAGTCGATCGCGCTGGATGATCCGAGCTGGGAGAAGATATCCTGCAGTTTATTAACTACTGGGATGACCGAGTCGCCCAGTAGCTCTATTGTGGAAGCTTCCTCCTCCTCCACGACCTCGGAACGCGTGTACGCCATGGCACAGGAGCGAGGGACGAGGGAAGCGCAGTCCGGATCAGGAGTCAGGATGGAGGAGAATACACGATGGACGGAATTCGGTAGGAAGACGGAATCGCGGCGGATTCGCTAGTTCGGAAGTTATTTTGGAAACGGGAGGAGGGAAGAGTTTCCTGAGAGGTCCCAGGCTTTGAACTGTACTGATCGACGGCTCAGATCCGTCGTCAGCGTAAATTGACCGTCTTGCTGGATTGCGTTTCGAATCTAGACAAACGCGGACCAAGACAGCGATCCTGACGATCGGTCGCCAGCCGAAAGATGCTGAACTCGACGATCGTGAAGAAATGAAAGGAATCAAGATCAAGTGTAACGTGTCAGGAAGAGGGAGGCTCCGAGATGAAGCCGAAAGAAACGCTCGAGAGATCACGCGTGGGTAGCTGACCTGCGGCAATCCGTTAACAATCTACTGAGCTTTAGCGAGACACGTCAGGAAAGCGTCAAGAGAGCTGTCCTAGTAAATGCAGGGACTGGCACAGCAGGCGACCGATCAGCTGTCTTAGTATGCAGCACGACCAGCTATGACTCTTGGAAAAGCTCAGCTGCACAGACAGAGCCTAACGAGGTAGAACTTAGGAGGCTGACAGACTCTGTTAGTTAGCTGCTTAGCAGATTCTGTCAGACTGAATCCACAAAGGTACCTTGGGACCTGTTCAAGGGGCAGACTCAATGTCCCAGGCGGATGACTGCTTGGCCCGGCTCGGCACCACATCGCCTGGTTCGGACATGCAATAGTGTAAGCTTTTTCGAGGCTTCCGATTTGCTTCGGGATGGTTCCGTGTGGCTGATCGTCTCCGAGCCTACAAGGGAAGCAGGTTTGTTGGAGCAGCAGCTTTGAAGCTGGCGAATTTCGTACCATGCACACGTTATCCATCTTGTTGTGGGCCTCGATTACTGTTCGCTGAGGTACATGATCATTATTTCTTACGTACACAGAAGTGTTTTTTCAAGTTTAATAGCTTATCTTTATCCATAAAGGCTATGATTTCACTCCACTGTAACTCTGGCATAGGGTAAGATTCCAACGAGCCACATGCTTGTTGAAAACATTGTGGTGACACAATATGTCCAATTTACTGGTCACTTCAATGATTATGCAACACACATCGGTATCAAAACAACATCCATCCATAACGTAAATCTGAGCTGTCAGTATCATCAGGTTTCAAGTGTCATCGGTGCAAAAAGTTCTTCTTTTGTCGCTTCTCCTTAGGCTGTCACACACGCAGCCAGCCACGCGATCACAAGAACAAAGGTTTTTTTTAAGAAAACAAAGGGGAAAAAAATGTTACCACATGCACGGGGTCGTCAAGAGCCAAAACAAACATTGTAGAAAAAGCACATAACGCGGAAAGTTTGGAAGGCATTCAAATGTTGAGGTGCAGCTTACCCGGCTGCTCCGGTTTCGAGATTTAAGAGCCTCCGTGTCGATCCTCTCCTGCCACGAGCTCTTGCGCAATTTGATTGGCCGATTGCCCACATACTTCCCTGCGCACACCAGCAACACATGAAAGCAGAGAGAACAAAGGACATCGCACAGAACCAGGTACTTTAAGCACCCTAATTGACCATGTTGACTTCTGTTGACCGTTGTTGACTTCCGTTGACCGTTGTTGACTCTTGCTGCATCTCCTTGAGTGCAGCACCACACAGTCCATCACTTAACCAAATCTTGACTACATGACCCACTGACTTACCAGCTCACCTTTCTTTCAATCTTGACCCAGCGTTGACTCACCATTGATTTGATTGTCTCACCATTGACTTCATTGACTCACCATTGACTGCCTTGACTCACCGCTCATCTCCTTAAGAGCAGCAGCATAGTCCATCACTTCACTCACCCCCTGTTGACTTTATTGACTATCCTGACTCACCGTTCATCTCCTTGACGGCAGCAACACAGTCCATCACTTGCAAAGACCCCCAACTGACCCTCAGTTCACTTACTCACCCCCCATTGACTCCGTTGACTTCATTGACTGCCTTGACTCACCGTTCATCTCCTTGAGAGCAGCAGCACAGTCCATCACTTCACTCACCCCCTATTGACGTCATTGACTGTCTTGACTCACCACTGACCCAACCATTGACTGGCTTGACTCACCGTTCATCTCCTTGAGAGCAGCAGCACAGTCCATCACTTCACTCACCCCCTATTGACGTCATTGACTGTCTTGACTCACCACTGACCCAACCATAGACTGGCTTGACTCACCGTTCATCTCCTTGAGAGCAGCAGCACAGTCCATCACTTCACCAAAGCTCACGAACCCATACCCCTTGGTCTTGCCTGTAGTCTTGTCCCTCACCACCTGGCGGAGGAATGAACAACCAGGCGGACAGAGAAAGGGTAGGATGAAGCATAAGGGTTGGATTAAAAGCTCACAAACCCATACCCCTTGGTCTTCCCCTGGTCTTGTCCCTCACCACCTGAACGGGCGTGGGGCGGGGGGAGAGGGTGGAGTGGGGCAGTTGAGTTAGAGCCAGAGTGAGGGCAAAACGGAAAGAGATTCTGGAATGCTTCAGCCAACAAACCATGCTCGCTCGCACCACTGAATGCCTGCCTAGCCTACTAGGCGCCTCATCTTGAATTGCCACGTGTAGCGAGGTTGTTTTTGAGACGTCTTAAAAACAACCTCGCTGCTACACGCACCACTGAATGCCTGCCTACCAGGCGGACCATGCCTCATCTCGAATTGGCCCATTAGGTCCATAGCTACAGCCTACCAATACCAGCCAGCTCACCTTTGCCTTGCTGAAAGACGCATACTTCTGAAACGCCTTGGTTGGACAGCACAGCATACCAGCACCACCGCACCCCTATCAGCTACCCCACCTTGCCTTGCCATGGCCCATAGGTACAGCATACCTTGGCCTTGTTGAATGACGCGTACTTCTGAAACGCCTTGGACAAGACACCATGCCAGCACACCATGCCAGCACGCACCACCGCACTTTTGTTTTGCCACCGCACCCCTATCACCCCGTCCCTGCCACCTCACCTTAGCCTTGTTGAACGACGCGTACTTCTGAAACGCCTTGGCCAACACAGCGTGCTAGCACCACTGCACTCCCTGCCACCGCATACCACCGCACTCCCACCACTGCACACCTTCCTGTACTAACTGCCTCACCTTGGCCTTGTTGAACGACGCGTACTTCTGAAACGCCTTGGCCAACACAGCGTGCTAGCACCACTGCACTCCCTGCCACCGCATACCACCGCACTCCCACCACTGCACACCTTCCTGTACTAACTGCCTCACCTTGGCCTTGTTGAACGACGCGTACTTCTGAAACGCCTTGGACAAAACGTCATCGTTCACCTCGTTCCCCAGATCGCCACAGAACAGCCGGTGGTCGTCTGGGTGGGGATGGGGAGGTGTATGGGGTTTACGGGGGTAATGGGGTATGGGGGGGTTATAGGGGGAAGTATAGAGGGTGTGGAGAGTATGGGGTGTGCCTTGGCCCGCACGTCATCGTTCACCTCGTTGCCCAGATCACCACAGAATATCCGATGGTCGTCTGCATGGGGATGGGTATGTATATGGGTGAGGGGTAGAGGGGTACGGGCGGAGTATGGGTTGTGCCTTGGCCAGCACATCGCCATTCACCTCGTTCCCCAGATCCCCGCAGAACAGCCGATGGTCGTCTGCATGGGGAAGGGAAGGTAAGGGCATGGGATATGACAGTATCGAAGGTATGGGTGGGCACAGTTGGGTTGGGGGTTGTGGGGTTATGCCTTGGCCAGCACGTCATCGTTCACCTCGTTGCCCAGGTCACCACAGAACAGCCGATGGTCGTCTGCATGGGGATGTGAGTATGTGGGCACATGGGAATGGTAAGGGGAACTGAAGGGTACTAAAGGGTATTGAGGGGTTGGGGGGGGGGGTGTGGGGTGTGGTGTGATGGCTTAACCAGCACGTCGTCATTCACCTCGTTGCCCAGATCGCCACAGAATATCCGATGGCCGTCTGGGTGAGAATGGGAGTACATGTGTAATGAGTCGATTTTTGAGTCGACTCAAAAATGGTCGTCTGGGTGAGAATGGGAGTACATGTGTAATGAGTCGATTTTTTTAGTCGACTAAAAAATGGTCGTCTGGGTGAGAATGGGAATACATGTGTATGAAGGGTATCGGGTACGGGAGCATTGGAGGCTGTGTCATGTCAGCACGTCATCATTCACCTCGTTGCCCAGATCCTGGCAGAACAGCTGATGGTCGTCTGTGTGGGGACGGGTGTGGGTATGTATGAGGGAATGGGGTATGGTGAAGGGGAGCATTGAGGGGTGTGCCTCAGGCAGCACATCCGATGGTCGTCTGTAGGGGGATGGGTACGGGTATGGAGGAGTGGGGTATGGATGGGTGAAAGAAGAAGTGGAGGGGAGGCACGTGAAAGAAGAAATGGAGGGGAGGCACGTGAAAGAAGAAATGGAGGGGAGGCACGTGAAAGAAGAAGTGCTTTGAGACGTCTCAAAACACTACTTCTTTCACGTGGCTATATCTCGTGGGGATCTGGGCGACGTGGCTTGGCCAGCACGTCGTCGGTTTTTGAGAATTCTCAAAAATCATCTCGTCGCCCAGATCCCCACAGAATATCCGACGGTCGTCTGCATGGGGATGGGCATGTGTATGGGGAACATTGGGTGTAGGGGAGCATTGAGGGATGTGTCGTGCCACCACTCCGCAGGGGTATTGGTGATGAGGGCATGTGGAGGATATGAAGACTGTGGGCATGGAAATCTAAGGCATGGGGGAATGATATGCGGATATGAGGAATGTGGGCAAGGGGATTAGAGGTATGGGGGGTACATGGTTTGGATTATGGGGGAAATGTGGGGTTGGGGGGGGATCCGTCAAGCAGGGGTGGAAAAACTCACTCTCGGGCCATTCAGTTAGAGTCGGATCTTCCCATTTCTGCCCGGCTGCTGTTCTCGGCACCGGCCGCTTTTTCTTTTGCTGCCCGGCAGCCTGCCCGGCCATGCCCAGCAGCACGTTACTGGCCAGGGCAGCTTTAACACCCTCCAATGCTGCCGGGTTGATCATGGCTGCATCCCTTTGGAACAGCTGCTCCGCCTGATAGGGGTCAAGGGGGGGGGAGGGAGCAGGAAACAAGGGGCAGAGAGCAGATAATTGTGAGGGAAAAGCAGTGCAGGTGCAGGTGCAGGTGCAGGTGCAGGTGCAGGTGCAGGTGCAGGTTAACAAGGGACAGAAAAAAGCAGTGCAGGTGCTTTAACTCCTTCCAGTGCTGCCGGGTTGATCATGGCTGCATCCCTCTGAAACAGCTGCTCCGCCTGCATTTGAGACAAGGGGACGGGGGAAAAAGGAGGAGTTGAAAGAAGAAAAGGGTTAACAGAGTGGCTTAAGGAGCCGCCGGGTGGATCGTGGCTGCATCCCTTTGAAACAGCTGCTCCACCTGATTGGGGAAGGCGAGGAAAGGGACAGGTGGGGGGGGAGAGGGGGGGGGAAGAGATGGGGAGTGTGAGCGGGCGGACTGACCAACGCTTCATCCCTTTTGGCAGAGGTTTTTGCGTTGCGTATGTATCTAACACGGTAACAAGTGACTCGAGCAAAACAGTCAAAGCTCGACCACAACTCACCTGTGAGTTGATTGGCTTCCCTGACGCTCTTGCTGCATTGGGGTTGGCCTGACACAGGGGTGAAATGGGGGGGGGGGGAGGGGAGGGGAGGGGAGGAAGGGTAGTAAGGGGGGAAAACAGTCAAAACGACCTGTGAGTTGATTGGCTTCCCTGACGCTCTTGCTGCATTGGGGTTGGCCTGTCATGAGGGACACAAGGGGGACGAGGAGGGGGAGGAAAGAGGAAGGAGAGAGATGGAACCCGCGTGAGCATGGAAGAGGCAAACATAGGAGGGCGTGTCATTGGATGGGCTGTTTGGAAAGAGAGGGGAGGGGGGCAGGGAGAGGGGGGAGGGAGAGGGGGGAGGGAGAGGGGGGAGGGAGAGGGGGGAGGGAGAGGGGGGAGGGAGAGGGGGGAGGGAGAGGGGGGAGGGAGAGGGGGGAGGGAGAGGGGGGAGGGAGGAGAAAGGGGGCATTTGAGACGTGTCGAGGGCTTATAAACAAACTCAGAGAGGGATATGTCCTGGAAGTTACTGAGTCGTGTCAAAAGCAGTGAGGCGAGCCAAAGGTTTGAATCGACTCAAAAGTCAACTCTAAAAAAACTCAGAGAGGGATATGCCCTGGAAGTTACTGAGTCGTGTCAAAAGCAGTGAGGTGAGCCAAAGGCAGCCTCACTTGCAGGGAGAATGATAGAGGGTTTACCAGGAACTCAGAAAGCGTTGTCCCTTGCCCGTTGCTGCTCCCCACCCCATACTGCCCTCCCACCGCTCCATACCCCCCTCCACCGGCTCCAAACGCTGCTCCCCCTCCTCCATACCCCCCTGCAGCTGCCCCATACCCTCCCCCACCCATTCCCCCCATTCCCCCGCCCATGCCCCCGTATCCGCCCATTCCCCCGAACCCTGCCCCTGGGGGGAACCCAGCTCCCCCTCCGTATTGCGCCATGCCTGCAGCCCCGCCCGCGTGCGCAGAGCCGCCCCCGTATCCCCCTGAAGGCCCTGCTGCTGCTGCCGCTGCTGCTGCTGAAGCTGCTGGGGGTGGTGGTGATGGTGTTGGTGCTGCTGTTGAAGCGGAGGGGGCAGGAGGGGGCGGCGGGATTGGCGGAGTGGTTTTGCCTGCAGATACTGCTGTTTTTTCCGCCTGCTGCTCCCCCGCTTTTTCCCCCGACCCCTTTTCCGCCTCCCCTGCTTCCCCTTCCTTCCCCGCATCTCCCCCCTTGGTTACTTTCACGGGCGCAGCGGCGTATACTTTCCGCGTAGGGGCAGGCGCGGGGGCGGGCGCGGAAGGCGGGAGAGGCGGAAATTGAGCAGTTCCCCCCGCGCCGCTGCTGAAAGGCGGAACTGTGTGTGCGGGCGGGGGAAAGGGCGGAAATGACGGTCGCGCGGGTGCTTGGTACCGCGGAAACGGGGGGGTTGAGCCTGAGGCTGGCGGGGGAAGAGGGGGGGACGGCGGAACATGCGCAGCAGGGGGAGTGGCGGCGGGAGACTGTGACCAAGAACCGCCGGGGCGATAAGGCGGAGTTGGGGGGAACGCGGAAGGTGGAGGAGGAAGGGCGTGTGGCGGTAGCGGACGAGGCGCGGGGGAGTAGGCGGAAGGAGGCGGGGCAGGCAAAGGGGATATGGAGGGCCGCGCGGGAGAAGCGCCTGGGGGGAACGACGGAGGGGGGCGAGGGGGAGGCGGAGCGGGGGAAACGGGAGGTGTGCCTTTAGCGGGGAGAGGCGGAGCGGGCGGAAGGGGCACTTGCGCAATGAGGTGCGCGGGAGGCGGAGCGGCCTTCGCGGAAGCGGATTCCGCACCGAGCGCGCGCATCTCCTCTTCGAAGCGATCCAACTCGCTTAGAAGATGCGCCATGGCTGCTAGAACCACCCAGTTGTGTAGTCTAGAGCCTGATTAGTACTGAACGACTTAACTTCAGTAAACTTCGTACTAAGCAGACACTTCGCTGCAATGATTGATGTCGAGGGTTTCAATCGCAAACAACCCTGTATTCGCGCTAGCACATAACACAAAGAATCTCGTCGCTGACTGGGAAAGGCTGGTAGAACCTAGAGTACTAAGCGGCTGTCGTGCTTGAGTCGTCGTGACAGAAAGCATGGGTGACCGTTCGAGTTTGAATATTCGAGAGAGATCATACTCGTTACTGTGCGCACCAGCGTCGCCAACGCTAACACATAAGCGCCGTACAATAAGTTTGGAGTAACAAGAATGAGAAGCGAAACCAGTAGAACTCAGCTAACATTAAGCCGAATCAGAATTCACTATTTTGCTAGTTTGATTTTTTTCGCATGCAACGTCGTGCACAAAGCACATGAAAATGTTTAAATGAATTCCTATTACGAGCATGCCCCGCCCCACACAATGATCATTGACGGATGAGGAAGGGCGGTCAAGATGAGTATTTATTTCTGCAGAGAGACCACCCTGGGGGCTGAGCTTGGGGGAACTGAGCTCCAGGTAAGGGGTTGACCTGTGTTGCTGCCTGCTTTCAGCACCTCCCATGTGCTTGCTGCATATGCTGTGCACCGGCCTGCTGCAAGCATGTGTATCCACCTCTAAATTAGAAGATTGGGCGCCAGAGAGGGTTGATTCTTCACCTACTAGCAGGCTCTGATGGGGTTGAAATGGTATACAAAATAAAGCAGAGCGGCAGCAGCTGGGATCCCTGTGGTGGCAGTAGAGGTTGTGGTAGTGGAGAGGACTTTCGAGTCGACTGACTTTTTAAGTTATGAATCGCCTCAAAAGTCAGTGGGGAAGCAGCTGGGATCCTTGCGGTGGCAGTAGAGGTTGTGGCAGTGGAGAGGGGAGAGGGAGAGGGAGAGGGGAGTTGTGAACATGTATTTGGATCATGGAGAAGAGCATAATGAGGTGATGAGGCACGATGTGTCATGGTGAAGCATGATGAGGGATGATGAGGGATGATGAGGGATGATGAGGGATGATGAGGGATGTCGTGAAGTAGCTCCCCTCCTTCTGCTCTTCCGACTGTTCTTCTCTTCCTCTTTCTCAAATTCCCTGATTCTTCCTGACAGGTACTTCCACCTCCTCTCTCACCCTCATCCTCTCATGCCTGCTTGCCTGTCCCGGTGCCGCCTGTCTGCCTCTTCTTCCTCCTGGTGTATGTGATGATGCTGCTCCTGCCTTCTCCTTGTTTCTCAGGCTGCACTGCAACAAGTCTAAATCCTCCCTCGCAAGGGCTCCGTCAGTTTGCTGTTAGCTTCTCCTAGCTGCTTGCCTCCTTGGTTGGGAAACGAATTGCAGTATTACGAGAAACAAACAAGCAAAAAGCACGGAGCAGGTATCCTCCCCTGCCTAAGTCCCAGCCATCCTTCTGCCTAGGTTGCTTGTCCCACAAGCTAACTCTAGTTGCCAAGTCGCATAGCAGCAGTGCTGCTCGCGATAGCTTCTAGGTGCTAGCTGGGTCCCAGTGGCCCACTAGGCATGCACCGACTTCCAGCTGGAATTGCATTCTCTGAATCGAATTCCCAGCCTGGAACCGAATTCCCAGCCTGGAATCGAATTCCCAGCCTGGAATCGAATTCCCAGCCTGAAATCGAACTCCACCCTGTCCCCACCAAATTCCTCGAGCTTCTCCATCCTGCTCGGCTCCATATATGTACAGTACATTCCAAGCACACAAACGAAAGTATGAGTACAAGAACCAAACAGCAATATAGTACAACCTCACCTTAAGCTGCTGTGCAATTCACACTTAGCCGAAGGCTATGTGTTAATAGCGTGACAGCTGTCGTGAAGTAGCTCCCCTCCTTCTGCTCTTCCGACTGTTCTTCTCTTCCTCTTTCTCAAATTCCCTGTTTCTTCCTGACAGGTACTTCCACCTCCTCTCTCACCCTCATCCTCTCATGCCTGCTTGCCTGTCCCGGTGCCGCCTGTCTGCCTCTTCTTCCTCCTGGTGTATGTGATGATGCTGCTCCTGCCTTCTCCTTGTTTCTCAGGCTGCACTGCCCCCTCCCGAGCCTGAGTTCCAGCACAGGCAACTCTGGCTTCGGGACCCTCAGCCTGACCCTTCCCTTTTCCAGCCGCGGCCACATTGGTAACGTGCTCCTTGATGCGCCTTCCTCGCTCGTCCTCTAGCACCAGCACCCCGGACTGCCTCATCTCCTTCACCTTCCAGCGTTCTGGTCCGACTGGCAGGTCTAGCGTATCTCGCTTGGGCTGCCTCAGGTACACTTCCTCCCCAGTCTCTACTCCCTTACGTCTGCATCCCTCCTCTCCTGCCTTCCTCTGTTGGTAACGCCTAGCGTCCCTCAGCTGCGCCACGTGGAGGTTGTCCAGCGCTGCCGGCGTCAGTTCCTTCAGGTAGGCCGCCCTCTTCCTAGCCAGCTCAGCCCACAGGTGTGGCTCGTCTGCATCTACCGTCGCACTTAGCAACTTCGGTGCATCCACGGGTAGGATGGGGTGCCTCCCGTACAGCAGATGGTAGGGCGACATGTCCTTCAATGCCGCTTGCTTGGCAAAGCGATAACCTGCAAGGATCCAGTGTAGCCCCTGGTCCCATCCTCTCTTGTTCGTCTCCCCGTAGGCCCGCAACCCTCTCTTCAGCGTCTGAATCAGCCGCTCCGTTAACCCATCCGACTGCGGGTGATACCTTGATGTCACACGGTGAGTGATCTGCAGCTCCTGCAAAGTCTCTTCAAAGCAGCCCTTGAACTCGGTACCCTGGTCAGTTAACACCTCCCCGCACGCCCCAAACCTGGTGATCACTTGCTCCACGAACGCCTCTGCAATCAGCCCACTGTTCTTGCTCGGCACTGCCCTGGCCTCTACCCACTTACTAGTGTGCTCTACCATCACGAGTATGTATTGCTTGCCTTTCTTGGACAGAGGTAATCCCCCAGCCAAATCTAGCGACCAGCGGTAGCCCAGTCCCCGAATCGGCAGTGACTGCAGCTCCTCCCTTGCCTTCTCCAGTGCTGCTTTGTTACGACTGCAGGCTGCACACTCATCTACCAGCTCCTTGACGTCCCTCCTTATCCCTGCCCACCAGTACATCGTGCTCAGCAGTTGATTGGTGCGTGCCGTTCCGTAATGCCCCAGCTTCCCATGCACCCGTCGCATGATCCTTTCCCTGTCCTTCTTTTGTGGCACTATCTTCCATCCCTCACTGGTGCGAAGCTGCAGCTGCTCTTGGTACCAACGGTAGTGCTGCCCCCTGGCCCTTGCCCTTTCACTGGCCTCCTCGCCCTCCGTGCTCCCTCCCTTAATCCACTCCAGAGTCTCGGTATCCTCCCAGACATCTAGCTGCCTCTTCTCCACTTTCTCTTGCCCCCAGCCAGCTGCCGGCACCTGTGCTACGGCTACCAGCTGCGCCACGGGCTGCACAGGTGGAGGGTTCCTAGACAGACCGTCAGCATGCTGGAGGGTCTTGCCCAGGCGGTGGCGAATTTCAAAGTCGTATCCCAGCAGCTTGATCGCCCAGCGGGCATTCCGTCCCGTCAGTTCCTGGTTTGTCATCAGCCACATCAAGGGCTGATGGTCGGTTACCAGCACGAACCTACGCCCCTGCAGGTAGACCCTGAAATGGTTGATGCCCCATACAGCTGCCAACCCCTCGCCTTCATACGAGCAGTAATTTGCCTCGGTGGGGCTGCAGCTGCGGCTGGCAAATGCTACCACTCGCTCCTCTCGCTCAATCTCCTGGCACAGGACTGCCCCCATCCCCATGCAGCTCCAGTCAGTGTAAAGCGTGAAGGGAGCATCTGCCCTGGGTATCTGTAGCAGTGTGCCTGTCCGTACTGCCTCTAATAGATCCTGTCTAGCCGCCTCTTCCTCCTGTCCCCACTCCCATCGCTTTCCTTCCCTGAGCAGTTGATTCAGGAGGTTCGCTCGCCGGCTGAAGTTCGGCACGAACTTCCTGTAGTAGTTCAGGAAGCCGAGCAACGCTCTCAGCCCTGACTTGTCCTTTGGCGGCGCCAGCTTGTCCAGCACCTTAACCTTCGCCTCCTGAATACCCAGCCTGCCCCCTTTCACCTCAAATCCTAGATACACCACCGTCCGCCTTGCTATCTTACACTTCTCTGGGTGGCAGGTGAGTCCTGCTGCTGCTATTGCTTCTAGTGTCCGTCTCAGGTCCTCCACATGCTGCCTGTCCGTTTTGCTGAAGACCAGCACATCATCAATGTAACACGCTGCTGCTGGTATGCCTCGCAGTACCTGATCCATTGCTCGCTGGAACACGGCAGATGCGTTCCGCATGCCGAATGGCATCTTGTTGTACTCATACAATCCGTCCACCCCGTGAAAAGCGGTTTTGCGCTTGTCCTCCTCCCTTATGGCAATTTGGTTAAACCCCTGCCTAAGGTCTAGCGTGGTGAAAATGACTGCCCCTTCCAGCAGGTCAAATATATCCTCTGCTGTCGGCATGGGATAGCGGTCAGGCTCTGTGATCTTATTCAAATCATGGTAGTCCCCGCACACCCGTCGTGACAGAACCGCGCCGGTCAAATCTTTCCTGGCTGCGACCACCGTGGCAGCTGCATAACTAGACTCGGATGGGCGGATGATTCCTGCTGCCAGCAGCTCCTCACACTTCTCTTTGCAGATGGCCGCATCTTCAGCATTCATGCGCCTCCTGCGCTGGTAAGTCGGTATCTCCGTCGTGAGCTTTATTTCTAATTCCCCGCCCTTGTACTGCCCCAGCTCCTGCAAGTTGTATGCAAATGTGCCCCTATGCGCTTTCAGCAGCTGCCTGATCACCTCTGCAGCCCCTGCCTCCACATCTGCCCCTATCTCCCATTCCTTCTCTGGCCCCTTGCTGACATTCAGCTTCTCTTGCCTCGGCTCCGCCCTTACTTCCTTTTTCAGCTCCACCGCTGAGTACGCTGGCTGCTTCC